AGACCAGAAAACTCTACAATACCGTTTTGGGAAAATTAAAGGTTATCTATAAATAACGCTCTGGTTATGTCTCCTAATGTTATTGTTACTGGGGATTTAAATGTTGACTTCTTCACTGCCTCCACCAACCATGTTATATTTGATATCATTAACTCCTTTTCACTATCTAACGTTATAAATGAACCTACTCGTATTGGAAGTACTAGATATAGCTTGCTAGATCCTATACTATTATCTGACTCCATTTCTTGTATTGACTCTTCCGTAATTTCTATTGATAGATCAGTTAGTGACCATGATGGATGTACGGCTTCCATAAATCTTCCTTGTCTCCTTAAACCTGTGTATAAACGTAAGATCTGGCAGTACAAGAGGGCGAATTTTGAGAAATTTAATGACCTTATATCTAATCATAATTGGTTCGACATTTTTTCTAATTGCGATTCTGTTAATTTAGCCTGTGATCGGTTTACCGATATTTTTTTTATCTTTTGCTGATGAATGTATTCCCAGTAAAGAAGTAAATATTAAACCTAATGATAAACCTTGGATGACCCCAGAACTAAGGAAAAACTTAAGAATAAGAGATAGGCTTCATAAAATAGCGAGGTCAACCAAACGTTTGGCAGATATTAACAAATTTAAATTTCAGCGAAACAAAGTAAATAATATGAAAAAACATGCACGTGCTACTTTTTATGAAAATGTTTTTGATATCATTGACGGGTTCTCTTCTTCAGATCCAAAATCTTATTGGAAATTGATTAAAAGGTTAATTAAAACGTCTGATACTTCACAACCTATTCCTTCCTTAATTGATCCTGTTAATAATCATATAGTTACTAGTGACGAAGACAAGGCTGAATTATTAAATAAATATTTTTGTAGTATTACTAGAGTTGAAGACAACAACACTGACGTTCCTATAATTGAGCCTACAACAGACAAACACTTTAGTTCAATTAGATTAAATTCAACTGAAATACGTGATGTTCTACAGATATTGAAGCTCGGCAAGGCCTCGGGTGGGGATGGAATCAGTCACCATATGCTTAAAAATACAGCTCTCACAGTTTGTGTTCCGCTCGAAATATTATTTAATATGTCCTTAACAACAGGGGTCTACCCAAATAAATGGAAATTAGCTAATATTATGCCATTGTTCAAAAAAGGTGACAGACATTCTCCTTCTAATTATAGACCAATTTCCCTTCTGTCTACTGTTGGTAAAGTTTTTGAAAGAGCGGTTTTTAAACATTTGTACAACTACTTTATAGATAACTCATTGTTTTACAAGTTTCAGTCTGGTTTTATGCATGGACATTCCACTGTGTATCAACTTATTGATATTTATCACCAAATTTGTATTGCCCTTGAAGAAAAAAAAACATACTTGTATTGTATTCTGTGACATATCGAAAGCTTTTGATAGGGTTTTGGCACAGGGGTCTGGTGGAGAAGTTAAAAGCGTATGGAATTTCAGGTGAATTACTTATATGGCTAAAAAAATACTTATCGGGTAGATATCAGAAGGTATTTCTTAACAGCACATATTCTTCTCAGGGTCTTATTGAGGCAGGGGTTCCACAAGGCTCCATTCTTGGACCGCTCTTATTTCTTATTTTTATTAACGATGTAGCAGATATTTTCGAATCGACGTCCCGTCTCTTTGCTGATGATACATCCTTGCTCAAGTCATCTTCTTCTTGTCAAGAAATTCAAGTAACTCTAAATAGAGACTTGGAGATTTTAAATACTTGGTCGAAAACTTGGTTGGTTAATTTTAACCCTGATAATACAGATGTTCTATTTATTTCAAATTCCACTGATATCGAAGAGGACATAGATTTAGAATTTGATGGGAAGGTTTTAAATTTTACAGATTGTCATAAACATTTAGGGGTAACATTTAATTCTAATGCTAAGTGGGGGGATCATGTTAATGGAATTTACTCTTCGGTTATGAAAAAAATTAATGTATTACGAAAACTGAAACATTTGTTAAGTAGGGATGCTCTTTCAAAAAATTATAAGACGTTTATCTTACCTATTTTGGAATATGCTTGTGAGTTGTTAGATGGTTGCAATGATATTGAATCGGAAAAATTAGAAAAGGCCCAACGTGAGGCCATCCGTATTATTTTAGGGCTGCCTTCTTATACACCTATTAATTCCTTATATTTTGAATCTGGTCTTGAAACTTTATCTTCTCGCAGGAAAAGAAAAAAACTTCAGCTATTGTATAAGATGCACAATAACTTAACTCCTGAATTTCTAAATAATCTTCTTCCACCGTTACTTGGTGAAAATAATCGTAACAATAACAACTATAGGGTTCCTCTTTTCAGACTCTCTCTTACTAACTCTTCTTTTCTTCCTTCTACTTTCAACTGTTGGAACAACTTAAAAAATTCTGTTCGATCCCTACCCTCGCTTAATTCATTCAGATCATGTTTAAAATCTACTACTCAGTCTAGTCCTCCAACCTACTTTAAGATTGGAAATTGTAAACTTAATATTTTGCATACTAAGCTCCGACACAAGTGTAGTTCCCTTAACTATGACCTATTTAGAGTTAATCTAGTTGATAATGCACCCTGTAATTGTGGTCATCCTTGTGAGAATGCCTATCACTTTTTTTATTGAATGTCCCCTGTTCTTAATTGAAAGGCGTATTTTGGTACATAATCTAAATATTTTGAATGTTCCGTTTGATATTGAACTTCTTTTATATGGTAATTGTAATTTTTCTGTGGACCTTAATTCAACCATTTTTAGACGTGTGCAAAATTTTATTAAAACCAGCAACAGATTTTGAGTTAATATATATCAACATTTGTATTATCAGTATTGTATTGTATTGTCAGTATTGTACTATATTGGCATATTGTTTTGTATTGTCATATGTAATGTATCTTTGGAGAAGGCGTTGATAAGTTGTAATAACTTGTGCCTAATCCACTGTCTGTATTTGACAATAAATATGTTTAAACTAAAAGGCCTCTGGGTAAAGATTGGAATGCTTTCCAATTCGTAGGCAGTTTCAGAGATTTAATTTGTGACACATTTTTAGCAGCATATTTCGATGGCTTGTTTATTCAACCATGAAAAACAAGGCCATTTATATATAAGTTACTTAGTTGTTGGACAGGTATTTATCAGGTAGATAATGAATCGATTAAGCGCCAGTCCAGGGTCACGTGACCTTTTTTTGTCCTACAAACTACAGAATTGTGACCTGGAAAAAGAAACATTGATTACAAAATGGGTCTTGGTGTCGTCATTTCCAGTTTGAATTAAATCTTGAATATTAACCTCGTAACAAATTTTGTTTACTGAAATTAATGGAATATTCATTATATCAAATTAATTTTATCAAATTAAGGATGGCAATATCAATTGCAACAAGCAAGGGATACAAGGATCCAACGAAACTCTCATCAAAACAATGGCGCTGGCTCATTCCTTGTATATGTATCATATATCAACAAAACATTACTGATAAATCACCACAATTGGTATGTGTACCCCAAATCGTTAAATCAAGAGAAGCGACAATGGATGTAACCAAATGTCCGACCTCTGTAACAAAAATGTCTATATGTACCAACTTGCTACATCAATTTTCAAATAGAATGGCAGCTACCATTTCGCGAACAGCTTCAACAAAAACAACAAAGAAGAGACCAGCAACGGAATCATAATCAAAACTCAAATTCTAATAAATTAGTGCAAAATACGAAAAAAAGAAAGATAAAATCATGTTGAAATTTTGACTTCGTAAGATGATGTTGTGGTTGCGGCGAGGGTTGGACGACAGTGCCTCTTACATGAGTCTATATTGTCAAAATGATTAATAAATTTGTCATATTGAACTACATTATTGCATGTCAATCAGGTACCGAAGGTATTGTAGTGTTGATTGGCCCTGATGCTTTGGTGGTACGTCGGCATTGCAATGTTTTGATAGGCTCTGATGCTTTAGTGTGTCTTGGTACAGTCGGTACTGTAGAGTCGGTAGGCCTAGATTTTTTAATCGGTCGTGGTACGTCGGCACTGTAATGTTTGATAGGCCCAGATTCTTTAATCGGTCGTGGTACGTCGGCACTGTAAGTTTTGATAGGCCCAGATTCTTTAATCGGTCGTGGTACGTCGGCACTGTAAGTTTTGATAGGCCCAGATTCTTTAATCGGTCGTGGTACGTCGGCACTGTAATGTTTTGATAGGCTCTGATGCTTTAGTCTGTCGTGGTACAGTCGGTACTGTAGAGTCGATAGGCCCAGATTCTTTAATCGGTCGTGGTACGTCGGCACTGTAATGTTTTGATAGGCTCTGATGCTTTAGTCTGTCGTGGTACAGTCGGTACTGTAGAGTCGATAGGCCCAGATTCTTTAATCGGTCGTGGTACGTCGGCACTGTAAGTTTTGATAGGCTCTGATTCTTTAGTCGGTCGTGGTACGTCAGCACTGTAATGTTTTGATAGGCTCTGATTCTTTAGTCTGTCGTGGTAGAGTCGGTACTGTAGAGTCGATAGGCCCAGATTCTTTAGTCGGTCGTGGTACGTCGGCACTGTAATGTTTGATACGCCCAGATTCTGTATTCGGTCGTGGTACGTCGGCACTGTAATTTTTGATAGGCCTAGATTCTTTAGTCGGTCATGGTACGTCGTCACTATAATGTTTGATAGGCCTAGATACTGTAGTCGGTCGCGGTACCGTTGGTACTGAGGTGTTGATGAAGTTCTTTAGTCGGTCGTTTTGTGTTGAATAGAATGTCGCATGTCTTCGAACACTTTCTTTAGTTATAACAATAATTACCTACAAATTATACAGTAATTATGTTATTTGCCCCCCTCCTTTTATAGTATTTTAATACATTTAATGTTGATTTCATGATGGTAAAACATGTTTTGTTCAGAATTGATTGCATTTAATTATTGACGACACTTCAGATATGTTTATATTTCTCATTTTTCTCTACATGCAGATAAAACGGTAACCATGTCAGCGGCTCCTATAAACAATCCATCATACAGGTGTTTGTTATGCCTCAAGGAATGGAATACGCCCCGGCTGTTACCATGCTGTCACACGTTTTGCACTGGCTGTCTGGACACTTATATAACATCGGAATACATCATAGAGGATAAGAAATCATATTTCTGTTGTCCGGTATGTGAAAATACCTGTTCCCCTAGCGACGAGAAGGCTTCCGTCAGTTCGTGGGCGGAGTTGTTTCCCCTACATCCGCTGGTCGCTTCTTCGGTTAACATGGGGACGGAATCTAAAGCAACGTTCTGCCATGGATGTCTGACAGATAAAGAAGAAAACATTGCCTACTTTTGGTGTAAAGTCTGCAAGGAGGCCTTGTGCCAGCAATGTCGGGTGGCACATCGACGAAATAAAATACTTTCTAATCACAAAATCGTTGCCATTGACGATGTTACAACGATAGATGTACGCACGCCTGTGCTCGTTAACGAGATATGTCCTCAACATACAGGGAAAAAGATCGAATTATATTGCCTCGACCACGGTGCCTTGTGTTGTGTTCTTTGTATTACACTATTACATAGAGCATGCAAGCACGTTAGCACTCTTGGGGACATTTCAAAGAATTTCTCATTGAGTCCGATTGAAGATGAGTTAGGAAAGATGAAGACTGAATCAAAAACTATCGTGAACGAGGATGAAAGCAAACTAGCCTGTCTCGACGCCAATTACCAGACAGTAACCAAAGACGTAGCTACATTAATCAAGAAAGCAAAAGATAAACTGGAAGATCTCCATGGTGTTTTTCAAACAGGTTTAGACCGAACTTACAAACGTGAAAAAAGTAGTCTATCGGATCGGTTACGTATCAATAAGGTGTTTCAGGCAAACGTGGAAAACACCAAACACCTATTGATGCTGATCAAAGAAAGACGACCTGAAAGTGAGATGTTTATTGCAGCAGAACAATCCAAGACGCAGATTTTAAGAAATGCCAGACGTTTGCAACAGAGGACCAAAGACAAACACAACACTCTCGAAATGAAAGTTACATATGACGATATATTAAATCAGGTTATCAACAATATGGCAACTGTTGGGAGACTAGACAAATCTTTCTCTTTGTCATCGCCCTCACGTGACGCCCTCGTCTCTATTGGAACAATGATTGACGCACTCAAGAAAACATCGTCTGTGTCGGAATCCATTTCTTCATCAGACATGTTGAGTGACCCAGAGCTGACAACAGCCGCTGACGTATGGACTGGGTCGTTGTCTCTTGTCAAGGCTGTTGATGAAACTACAATTGGTGGGTCTAAATCTTCATATTTAACAGGAGGCGTATTTATTGAGGGAGAAGGCCTGGTTGTTACAGACGTCACAAACAAAAGGCTTTTACTTTTTAATGATAACTATGACTTTGTCGGACAATACAAATTGAATTGTTGTCCAAGTGGTATCACAAAAGGGTTTGCCCCCCATGAGATGCTGGTGACCCTATTGAATGCACCAATCTTTTGGTGTACACTTCGTGCCGGTGTCCTAAGTACAGTTGGCTACATAGGTAGTCCAGGAACAGCATGGGGAATAGACACCATCGGAAATAACATACTGATTGGAACAGACGATTCTGTACAGATTTTAACAAAAGACGGAGCACAGGTTGCGTCAGTAGGTAAATGTGGAAAGAACACGTTCGTGGCAGTATCACCACAGGGGTTGTTTTATCACAGAGATAATGATGTCATTGTGTGCCGGTCAGGTGATGGGAAGGAAAGCTTCAAGCATATGTGCAAGGGTATTGTAGACCCCCGTGGAATTGCCATTGACGTACATTGTAATGTATATATATGTGGTATGTCATCGGGTGGCGTACATCTGATGTCTTCTGACGGATCCAAGGAGATTGTTCTTCTTTCAGCTATGTGTAATTTCGCTAAACCTTATGCGGTAATACTTCATCCAAAAAGACAGGAGATTGTTGTGACGTCGTGTCAAGAAAGCGTCATCTTTGAGGTGTACAAGTTATGTCGATGAATTCTATATTTCCACTTCAGTTATATTCAGTTGGCTTCCTATATCTTCTATAAACCATAGATGATAAAGAATTATAAAAAGTCACGCAATAAAATACTGTGGAATATTTTAGTGATACTTCAGGTGTTAAAAAAAGTTGCACATCGTAATATCCATTGTCTATGCCAGTCAGAAACTAAATGATGTCATAACATAGACAATGAGGTTACGTCATGGATTGAAAATGGTCCAACAAATTGACTGCTTTCGTCTGACTTCGACACATTTGAGTTTTAAATCCTGTCGAGATATACTTTATAGTTGTGTAATAATAGTTATTATTTCGTCGTGTCCAAGTTTTTGTCGTTGAATGTTTTGTTTTTAAAACACTTCTAAAACTCGTGTCGAACTAATGCGGGAGACTGTTCCGATTCCAACTAAACCAGTTCCTGTCATACGATAAAGATCCACCCATCAAGAAAGATTGGGAATTTCATTTATAATTTTAGGTGTTACATAAATGAATTGCAAATATGTATCTTCAGATGACTATCCTAATTTAACACTGATGCTTGATCAGCACCCTTTCTTGTAAAACTTGTCTGAATGTGAAATATAAAGAAAGAATCTTACCATAGTTTTGAGTTATTTTGTTCCAAATATGACGTCATACGCATTAATTGAAGACATTTGGTTTTTGACTTGTAAATGTTCTATCAATGTCTATTGTCATTACATGAATCTTCTTAAGTTGATATGACCCAGTATAAAGAACATGTGCTTTAGATATTCTCAGTCTGACCGAATCCTGCATTTTCAAACCCAACTGAAATGATATTTTGGAACATTTTCTTCAGGTTGGTAATGTCAATAAAATAGAAGTAGAAAGTCGATGACTACATGAGTAGAAGATTAGAGTGTGACGTTTCTATGACTACACCATCACCTTCATCTTATAACACAACCTGTAGAAGATTAGAGTGTGACATTTCGGTGACACGGTCGCTTTCATCAGACAAATGACAAATGTGTAGCGAACTAGCACTAACTTACATAGTTTATAATGGTAAAGAATCATCCAACTTTTCTGGCTGCACTATAAACCTATGTACATTAAGGTAAAAAACGGTGTGACGAGATGGTAAGGAATCAACCAACTTTTTCGGCCGTACTATAAACCTATGTACACTAAGGTAGAAAACGTTGTGACGAGATGGTAAGGAATCAACCAACTTTTTCGGCCGTACTATGAACCTATGTACACTAAGGTAGAAAACGGTGTGACGAGATGGTATAGATAAAACATGCACAAAATGGACACAATGCACTGAGGTCAATGTGATTGTTTATGAAATTATGTTTTGTCATAAATTGTTATACATAGATTTGAAAGACGATGATACTCTACCGCTCAAAGCAGGTGAAGGGGGACAACCCGTATCATTCTGCAAAATGGGTTATTTCCCATGTATCATTAGCAGAGAACTTTTATACGAAAAATATACACTGACCGGTATGTACACACACAGCGATGCAGCTACCAGTTACTGCAACAGAGGCGACTCAAAATGACCCTTGCTCTTCAAGGGGCGATAAATCATGCAAACACACAAAACATACTATCGATAAATACCAGTGATACCATACAGTATATTGGATTCCTCAACTTTATAAGAAATAATACAAAAATACTTTTATTGGCTTGTCTAGCCATTCAAACAGACCTTTGTCCAGGCTTCTTATAACCACCCTTCTTTGTGTTGTCAAATCAGGGTAACCGTCTTGGTGTGATACTATTTATTCATGAAATAGTTTGTGGATTGTAAACCCAACCCCCACCCCTCCCCCAAAAAGGGCGTTTGACGTATATTCAACGCAGAACATCGACACTATCGTCGTCGAGTTTGGTAATAGGATCTCCCAACAGACTATTGGCACACCATGTTCAGCTATATTGTAACTGTACCCCTCTGTTGGATTACTTATTTATGCTTTCTTATGATGTTTCATTTATCGAAGGGCTAATCAAAACACAAAGATTTTACAAAATCTTTTATCATAATTAAGACAACCAGACTTATTGACCACGCCCATCGTGTACACCCACCAGAATTGGACAAGACAGACTTTTCGACATCAGCCACTCACATCGACATTTTCCTATATTAAAACCAACATGGACAACTTTCCAGCAAATTGTTTGATTTCCATTATTGTGAATTTTCAATTTCCGGATATTAAGGTCTCTGCATCCCAATCCTGCGGTGTGTGTACTTGTCACTGTTGGTTCGATATTCAAAAACCTGTTCTCAACATCACAACTGGCAGCTGACTCACAACAGAGATATGTAGGTTGATGAAAATCTCAAAAATCGCATTGATTTTTTTTCTTTGTGAGATATAAAATTGACATTACTTACTTGAATTGACCAACTTTACATAGTATATTGTATTTTGGACATAAGGAGTCTTGCCATTTCTTGTTTGTGACTCAGTTAAGAAGACCGACTGGTTGTTTCGTTGTTTCCTGGGTCTTAACAACCAGATCAGGATAAGTTCACCACTCAGGTTTTTGAAATTCATTTCGATCAATTTGAATTGTTCTCCGTCTCCAGATAGTTTCAACATTTAATCCTTATCATCACTGACGAGTTACCGAAGGACGAAACAACCGTACGATACTCTTATACTCGCGAACAAAACCAACCTCGTCCGTGCTATCACTGAACGCCATATCATACCAATGTCCAACGTATGCACCAGATTAAGAAGTTTGAATGTTCCTGACAAATATATCTCAGGATTTCATGGTTTCGTCTCCTGATTTTCGTTATGATAAGAATGTCTGGTTTTTGTTTTATATTCTTCCTATAAAATGATTGTTTTTCTTTTATTTTGTTTCAAACAAATATGAAATGACTGTCAAACATACTTATAAGATTTACATTGCCTTCAAGTTTACACTAACATTAGTCACCAGTCGATTACATTAAAGGGTTATCCTGCTGATCTTCGGTTACTTGTTTATCTCCCTTTATCTCCGAATGAAAGTTGAGGTCTCTTGAAATTAGATTTATCCAAATGTTCAAATGTTTCAATGTCAAGTTTCATTTGTCATTTCAAGATTATATAGACCGGCGTTAGTCAATGTATGTCGTTCTGTTTATTCAATACCGTTGATATTATAAATGTAACATTATTACCTTGCATCAATAAATGTATTTTTAAATGCTAATTAAATTTCTTTTGTGTTGTTTTGTATTTTAAGTATAAAAATACATTTTCTTCTTTTATTTTAAATAATCATAACACACCAACGTTAGACGTATTGACAAAAAGGTTTTATTATGCAGTGCAAAGCGGTGGGAAAATCAAATTGCACGGTGGCACACACTGTGTCGGATCTGCGATCAAACGACAGCGAACACATTCTGGGATGTTTTGTGGAGTGGGGATATTCTCCTGTGTACATATTGCTGTAGCGAGGTCGATCGCTCCTTTGTTCTCATTGTTGTTCTTCCCTCGTTCGAATCCCTTGCGGAAAAAGAAGAAATTGAGTAAACCTGTAATATAACAATCAGTGTTTACGTAGCTCTCAGAGTGTATACATTTTCATTAGGTACACAGGAAAAAAATTGTTATTCAGACACCTTAATTTGCTTTTATATACTTTAAGGATTGATAGTTATTGAAGTAAAAAAAAAAATATTAAGAAAATAGAATACACACATCGTGACAATTACTTGATAAATAAAGTACAACATCTGCGGACCAATGGATATAACTGCGCCACTAAGCTCTTTTGTCACGTTAACGTCAACGTCTTAATGCGGAGGTAATCTTAGAAAAATTGATAACTTACAAAACACACTTTTACCACATTTAAATATAAATTTTTAAAATTTATAAAATTTATAAAATTTCTGTCGTTGATGCCAGGGGCATATACTTTGAAGCCTAGGAAGCGATTGAAGAAACCCAAACGCGAATAAAAGAAATGAAGATGAGGAAGTGTACTTAGTTCCATAGTAAGCAAATTTCGTAAATCATTCTTAATCCAGCAAATGAAGTTTGAAATCTTGGAGGCGACTAAGGAAATTCAAAATTGATCGATATAAATGTGAAAATCTAGATAATCTATAAATCTATAGAGCCATATTAAAATATTAAAGTGGAGGAGAAATGCATATTTCTCTGTGTAAGTGACATCTATAAATCTAAAACAATTTAATTGTGTGTTTTATTAATGAAGAGATCATATTTTAATCCTGTTCATGTACGGGAGTATGTAACACATATTTCAACTTGATTATTCATAAAATAAATCAGTATTAAATGTATGTAACAGATTGTATAGTCAAATATTAATAAAATAATATCATAAAATTTTAAAAAAATCATTTAACTGCATCATACAGCTGTTTCGTCCTTCTAGGACTTACTCGTGCTAGATGCTTAATCGTGAGAGCGATTGAGGATTTGAAAGCAGTGAATGAGATCCTTACCACACCCTAGAAGAACGTTGCCATCGATATCCGCCGCCACAGGCTGCAGCTGGACCGTGGTCAGAGCGAGTATCAAAGTCAGGCAATAGAACCGCTGTAAACGTGACATCACGATGCTGCAACAAAAGAGACCAAGCCATTCTGTTGGTGATTTCGTAACAGGTTTTGATCAATGTCAATGTTTAAAATGAGATCACAATACTGCAATGAAAATGGTCAAAAAAATTATCAAGAAGAGTAAATCAATGGTTTCGATTCAGGGTTAAATGGTCAGTGTTCTATAATTATTATCTTAAGTATTTATATAATTGAAATGATTTATCGGGTTATCAAATGCTTAACCTTCTGTCATATTATACCGCTTTTCTCTTTAACTTCAATCTAAATAGTGAATGTTTTGGTAAAAAATACAAAAAAAAAAAAAAAAAATCACAAAAAAAAAAAATAAATAAATAAAAAAAAACAGAAAACAAACAAAAACACAAAAACAAACAAACAAAAATAACAAAAAAAATAAAGACATACACACGAAACAAAAACAAAAAAAAACAATAAAATGTAACCAACAACAAAAAACATGGTTTGCTAAGATTATCTACATCGCCAGATACACAAATACGACAAAAATAAATCTGAAACGAATTGATAAAACGATAAGATAATTTTTCTTTTTGTTGGCTCACTGCTTTATGTTACACCAGTACTCATTATTAAAAACTGAAAACCATCGAGACAAGGTGTTGTGTACTCGAACAGCAGTGTTGTCCTAAGCGGTAAAATAGATGATTCTACGGAGCTTCCATAACTTGCATGTTTATATGGTTACATCAATATTAATGTAACCCTACTAAAATGTCAGGTATCAATACTCACCTTGGTATGAGAATCCTTGTTTACATTTTAAGGTGTTAACCGTGTCATAGCGCTACTACACATACACACATTCACTATTATGTATTTAACAGTATAAGCGATCAGACTGGTTTGTAATGTGTGTGAGACAGATCGCCTTGGGTACAACATCATACATCCTTGGGCAGGTTTAAGAATGCACCAGGATAGCTGGACCTCGACTAAAGGTCACCTAATATTTACTGGATATACAGACATGTAGATAAACGATCACATCTATTTGTATTTATCTAATATCATTTTCAGGAAGTCAATTATTTCTATCCAAAAATGAAAAATCTTAAATATATAGGAATTTAAAATATTCGACGATTTTGATACCATACATGGCTTCAAAATTTCAAATTGTTAAATATCATTGTCTTACAGGGACACGACACAGCTGTATAAACCAGATTAATTAATTCATTTCATATCAAATGAGTAAGGAAAGGTGATAACTTATCTTTTGTGCAATCGTTTATCATTATTTTTATTTTTTTATTTAGGATATCAGGTTAAGGAATAAGACCCTTTTTAAAAACTAAAAAAATGGAACTGTTTAATTAAAATAATAAATCTGTCGTTTCAACATATATTATATAAACATTGAATCAAGTCATGAATTTACTTTCGCATCCTGAAAATAGTTTAACATAACTTTAGTTTCACTCCCATCTGGTCTTAGTTGGCCCTATGAATTACTTTAATAGTCAATAAACTGTAACTTTAGAAGTTCACACTAACAATGATACCAACGGAACCGTGAAAAATAATTCAATTTAGTCACTGGACACGTATAGAAAATATATAACTAGACCAAAGAGACTAAAATGGAAAAATTAAATAATATTCTTTTTTTAATTTAATTTTGGAATGATATAATTTACAATATAGAGTTTGTTTTCCCTAAAAGGTGTTGATATATGGCATTACGGATATAATGTGTAGACCTGTCAGACATTATATACTGTTATGTACAGTCTGATGGTAGCACCAGGTGTAAAATCCCTAGCTAATGAAACATCAACATTTCTGCCATAACTTCATAACCTGTATTTCTTGGTATACCCGCATATATATGACACATAACGTAATCAGAACACGTTAATTGACCGTTGGCTATAAACTTTGACATAGGTCAGCATACTATACTTACCTACACCTCTTCCAACACCAATAGCAAGGAAAACAACACCTGAGTTAACGGAGGGGGCTGAATTTATCAGCCGTTCTAATAGGTAAACACCCACCATCGTTTGACACTGACAAATGATTTATGAGCTGAATATATAAAAATCCGGAAACCGTATGCGCATGGTGATGTATTCCTCGGGTTGGAATATATAACATTTTTTTGGAGATCAACAAGTTTTTTATCTACATTTGAGTAATTATATTGTCGAGACACACTGACACGTATGTGTTTATTAATCCTCCTTTTTAAGAAATGCGTTATTTTATCTAATCGTTTTGAAACAATCAGGAGTGCCGTTGAGCAGATAGGTCTGACGTATTGCTTGATATTTTTTTCTAATTCAATTTTTTTGGAAAAAAAAAGAAAAATAACATAAGCTTAAGAGTAACCCTGAGCGCTGTTATAGTGTAATCACAATGAAACGTCACACACAGCACGGACACGGCAATTATTATTATTATGACATTCTTCACGGCTCGTCAACACATAAAATGTCATTAGGGTGAAACTGTCGCTCTGTTCTTTCGCTTATAAAAATGTAACGTCAAACAGACAGAAATAAGAACCGATCTTATGGAATTAGACTTGCTTTTATAAAAAAAAATAACCTTCCTCTGACTTATAATCCTATTGCTCCCATTACATGATCGTCAGAGTTAATTAGATTTTGGATCTTTGTGTTTTCGCTTTTCCTAATCTCTCTCTTGACACTGATTCATTTTTGCTCCTTTTTGAGCATTCACTCATTTGAGGAAGGCTCTCGTTTTTGTACCCTGGATATGACAACCCGGTTATACTTCTACTTCCTTCTTAACGTTCAGCATTGTGTTAGTGAAAAGACTGGTGTGTCCGTTTTTCAGTATCATTTGTCTACATAAGTTGTCCTCCTGGGTTCCTGTTGCAATATCTTTCAGTGTGACAGCTATAATTAGGCTCAGTACTATCGCAAGGAGGCAACCGCAAACGCACCCTGCAAACACCGATAGACCATCCTTAAATGAGTAGAGAAGGAGATACTATACTACACGTGCTTTCTTTGGTTAATCTTTTTTTTAATATTTACAATCGACTCTTTCTGTTGATAATTTCTTACATTGCTGCAAAGGCCAATCAAACGTAACATTCCAAGAACAAATTGAACACATCAACATGTCAACAGAATCATAATCCAAACTCATATTCAATAAAACTTGAGCAAAATATGAACAAAAGAAAGATTTATGCGCAGACTCCTCAAAAAATACAAGAATAATAAGACTTTTTATGTAATGGGGTGATATATTACGATGAAGCTGGAGAATTTTCCTGCATGCCCAACTCAGACGACATGAAATCAATATCCTCCGAAGACGGGATATAAAGCTATTGACACTATTGAGCTGTTGGTAGTCGAACACGCTTACATTTCCGGAACACCTGTTATCCTTGTTCTTTTTAGGAAGCTCCATGAAAATGCTTCAATAATTCATATTTTGCCCTAGTTTCCTAAAAAATAAAGAGTTTGTAGATATGGGTTTTATTTTGTATTTTCTTTGCTTTTTTTAATCTTGCGGGAAAATCCTCAAAAATGAAAACGATATTGTCAATATCAATGTGAAAAAAAATGATAAATTAGAAATAAACTTAAAGTTTTTCCGACTTGTTGGCCAAACTGAGGCGCGCGAGAAATTGTATAGTTGGAAGAGCCCAGGGTACCCGAGAAAACCCCTTTGTTTTAGACATTTTTGTCATATTCCTTGGTCAAACTCAAGTTGACGTACTTGTTTGAATATTATAGAATTCTTGTTTACCTACGTGTTCTATAAAACTTTGATAATAAGACGCTGGTAAGATTTATCAATATTTCCATATTAAGTATATTTGCCTTAATCACTGAAGTTCTAATGATCGTATTCGTGGCTTTAATAAGAGAATCATTAGCGTGAAGTTCTAAAAATTAATCTTTTAATGAGTTGCTGTTTTTTTGATGAAACGACACAT